ACAGGGTCACTCTAAAGCTTGCCAGTGGTTGGCCTTGAAATCAGCAGACATGTCTGCAACATCACACCCCTTGTAAAATGCTGACTGAAAGGATGCATAATAATTTGTTCAAAATAGTTCTGCTGAAGGCGTGTGACAAGGTTGTGAAGGTTCTCACTGACAAGGCACTTGAGCTTGGTCCCTACATTGACTAACTACAGGTTTTAACCTCCCACAAGTGCCCATATTTACTACAAATATATAACCCAAACTTTTTCCCCCTATAGGAAGTTGTCCTGGAAGAAGGTACAATTGCTTTTCAAAATTGGGTTAAAACAGGAACAGAAGTTTACAGACAGTTCTGGATCTTTGACGTGCAGAATCCAGAGGAAGTGAGAGTTAACAGCAGCAAAATTAATGTTAAGCAAAGAGGTCCTTACACATACAGGTGAGTCCCCACCACAAAGTGGCACTCTTTCCTTGACTTCATGTATTTCTGAAAAAGCTTCCATTTGACAAATGTCATTGTATCAAAACGTACTTTGTATTTTCTTGTCATTAATATATATTGAAATACTTTGTTTCTGCCTATATAAAATCCTAACCTAAGGATTTAACTAGTAAAAGAGATACAATTTCAGGAAGAAAATTATAGGAGTTTTACCTTTGTGGCTTACATTCACAACAATTTTAAATATACATGCTAAATAGAAAAAAAACCTATCAAAAATTTAAAAATCAAAGTATTTTAGAAGTCCTAAAGTTGAATGTGTAGGTTATAGGAGTGGATCCCACAGTGTGGCTCCTGGACCAGCAATATCCACATCACCTGGAAACTGAGCAGAAATCCAAATTCTCAGGCCCCTCTTAGATCACATGAATCCAAGTACTCTTGGTGTGGAGCCCAGCAAGGAGTTTTACAAATACTTGGGATGATTTCAATACATACTCAAGTTTGAGAACCATAGCATTAAGCTGACTTTACATAACTACAATACCTGAAAAGGATTTATATTCAGTCTTATTTCTGGGTCATATGAGTGTTTGTCTATTAGTAGTTTCATTCTTACATTTTCTCCAGTACTGAGACTGAATTAAGCTGTATCTTTATCTTAATAGTTTAACACACTTTTGCACACTTTTGAATAGAATCATAGAATATCAGAACTAGGGGGAAAATAATGAGGCAGAAGTTTTCATTTCATAGATTAACAAAAAAAAAACCTGCCCAGGGGACTTGAAATGACTTGTCCACTTTAACACAAACCTAGGACCTGATAACTCTTGACTTTTGTGTACATTTTCTCCTAATTAAATTATAAACTATGCTTTGATAGGAGAAATAATTAAATTCAGGGGACTATACATATGTCTTTTCCAACTATCAAAGTAAGAAAAGGGGAGACTGAGGTGCTAAAATTACTAACCTTATCCAAGGATTAGGAATATATTTATGATATCCATATGAGAACAGAGTTAAGTCTTACTGGATCATTTGTTATACAAATGTAGACTTTCCCCTCAAGAATAATTACAACTAGTTGTTCACTGTGATCAAGTATTACCACAAAATTTCACATTTGGAATGATTTCTTACAATTCGCAGTAATAGTTGTTAGAATTTGAAAACTCATTGTGGTTTTTTAATATTTATTTTCTGTGGAAGGCCATGTTTTTACTTTAAAGGATAAATTGGGGAATGGGAAAACATACAACAATGAATCCGGTCCTAGTCCTGCTCTGGCAGGTGACAGCTACTATCCATTTTATTCTTTAACCTTTCTCTCTAAGAGATGAAAGTGGGGGTGGGTGAGATGTGATTAACTTACTTACAGGGGCAGTGAGGGAGGGCTGGGGAATAGAAGGTGGATTTACAACTAAACTATAGAAACAATAAACTCCTATTTACATAACAACGTTAAAGGGATTTATGATCACTTATAAGTCATCTTGTCTCATGGTGTCACCAAAATGGAGATAGTGTCTGCTTGGATGCCTTAAATAATGGGAAAATACCTTTCAGCAATAGTTAATAGTTTCAGAGTCATCCATGTGTGGAAGTGAGCCTGCTTCCCCATAAAATTATACCCTGAATTCAGTTGAAATTGGAAGTGGAGGAGGATGTCCCTCCTCAGTGAGAACCACAGGCTTATTTGACTGCTGAAGTGAGCCTGATGAAAATTTGACTGACAAGCTGTAACACGGGTCAAAACATGAAACTGCCCGGATTAAGATCTGAATTATATACATTCCAACCTACACCAGCTCTCTGAATAGCCAGTAATTCCTTCACAGTATTCTAGATCCAACATAAAATCTTTTTTTTTTAAGTTACTTTGGCAGTAGTACAAAGAAAGCAATCTTGGGCTAAATCTGAGGCAAGTTCCTGCCTTTAACTGTATTAATCAACACTTTCTAAAACTTGCATATATTCTAATTTTTAAACAAAAAATTGAGTGATTATATTCTCTTTTTTAAGAGTACATTCTAAACGCAGCCGTCCAGTTTAAAGATTATTCTGTTAGTACCATCTACTGGTATAATGTTGTAAATACAACTAAGTAAAGGAATTTGGGTCACGATTATTTTGCTGTTTCAATATATATATAGATAAATATTCCTGAAAATAAAAGGGTTGTAATTTTAAGTGTTAATAATATGTAATCTAATTTTAAAATACAGTTATCTAAGAGAAAATAGTGATTGAATAGTAATAGACTGTCCTGGCTCTTTGTATGTCTCCAGTACTCCAAGAAGAGGAAATAATAAAGTTTTGATGAGATTATATTAGAAATAAAATTTAATTCTATCTTTTTGAGAATTCCCTTTTTAAAGAATATGAACAATTAATTTATTCATTCAAAAATATTTATCGAAAACTTAACATGTACCAGACACTGCTTGGGTGTACAAAATACTTATTTACCTAATCGGCAGGGATTTACATTTTTATTATACCTAGTCAAAATCAGGTGTTTTTCTTGGTTTGTTTTGTTTTTACATTTCAGTCCTATGTTTTTTTACATTCTTAAGTTAGGTAACAAAAGACTATTAGAAACTCACATCATAGACACTGAGATATATGACAGCAATGAATAATGCATGTATCTTATTTCATCTCAGTAAATATCTTGTTCTTGCAAAAGATTTTTTTACCTAAACATCACCCTTCACCATATTCCTATAAAGTAGTTGGTACTTTGCCTAGAGATTTTAGAGTCAGGAGCTTAGAACTAATGAGGAGACAACACATGGCAAGGGATGGAAGGGAAATGATCTGTAAAATGGAAATTATATTCCATTAGTTCTCTTTAATTCTCGTTAAAATACTAGAAATGATGGACAAGCCAGTGCTAGGAAGGCTGTGCACTTCGAACACTCCTTCTAATATAAGTAACATGCTGTTACTATTCCCCTGCTTAAACCTCTCTCCCGTCCCCTGCTGACCCTCCAGATAAAAGCTGAACATTTGAGTATGGGACACAACACTTTAATATTTGAGATCTTGCTTATTTCAGTGGCTTTATTTCCTATGACTCTCCTTACTTGGGCTCTGTAAACCAACCTTATTGAAACGTGCATTTCTAAAAGTACACCATGTTCTTTTTATCTTACACTTTGTACCCTACTTTACCTAACTAAACTTCGATTTGTCATTCAGACACTTAATGTGGAACTGTATCTTGTCCATTATCCCCACCATGACTATCTCAAGCCAGGGTTTGAAGCTGTTCTGTGTTTTCCCACAGACTGTGTAAACTCTAATAATAACACATATTCCTTCTCCCCTGCTATGCAAACCTAAGAACCCCCTTCTTGTTAATTTGCTAGACTCAGGATTGGCTTGTTTATCATTTTAATCTACTTGTTTAGCATAATTTCCAACATAGGCTAGGTACTCAAAAATTATTTGCTGCATGCATGAATGGCATTTGAGAATCAATGTTCACTTGAAACACTTTTTAAAATTTTATTTACTTCTGTTTTTCAGAGTTCGTTATCTAGCCAAGGAAAATATAACCCAGGACCCTGAGACCCACACAGTCTCTTTCAGTCAGCCCAATGGTGCCATCTTTGAACCCTCACTATCAGTTGGAACAGAGAATGACACTTTCACCATTCTCAATCTGGCTGTAGCAGTAAGTATACAAACAGCAAAATTACTTGTTTTGAAATATTCTATAATCCAAAATAATCTCATGTTTACAACTATTATTAGATATTATTTAGTCATTTTTATGAAAGTGTGTTCTTATGTCATTAATTTGAATTAAGATCATTTGGAAACATGACAAGATCATATAATCAACTGAATTACATGACCACTTAAAGTGCACCATTAAAAAGGTAGGATTTTAAAGTCTCTTCCCGTGGCTCACACTAGGCAGAGAAATGTAATCATTCAGAGATTAGGAAACATTACACTCTTAGTCGTGGCAAGATTTTGTAGTAATTTAAAGAATACAGTTAAAATTGTTCTATCAAACTTAATTCTAGTATTTATCCATTTATTTGTTAAACACCTGATGCTGCAATTGATCACTTAAACAGTGATTTTCTTTTTGTAGGCTGCAGCCCACCTCTATCCAACTACACTTATGCAAGGATTGCTCAATTCATTTATCAAAAAGTCCAAATCTTCTATGTTTCAAAGAAGAACTGTGAAAGAACTATTGTGGGGCTATACAGATCCATTCTTGAAATTGGTTCCATACCCTGTTGTTACCACAGTTGGTGTGTTTTATCCTGTGAGTACCAAAACTGAATGTTGCTATTGTTACTTTAATTGGATAAATATAATGGCATTGGCAATTTTATAATTCTATAGTTTAGTGTACTAACCCTATTTGTGATCTGGAATACATACTCTACTTTTTAGAAAGTCTCTATCTATCTCCATGGATTTAGCTTTCCTTGGCAAAATTCACTTACCCAAATTTAACAATTAAATTTAAAATTCGGAAACTGAGATTTAATAAGATTTCTACTCATCAATAAATATCCACTTGTTTAAAGTTAGTTTGTAAATTGGTAAGGTTTTGAACATTGTTTTCAGTTTTCATTTCCTGTCTAAAAAAATCCAAGTTTAATACCATATTTTTATTTGTGTTAAATATATTCACGTCATCTTCCTTCTCTAGACCTCTTACAAATTCGTTTTAATATAAATTTAAGTTAGCCAAAATTGCACATGAGACTGATACATCAGCAATGTCATATTTTCATAGAATTAGTTGATAAGAACATCTGTTAATCTACAAATATCATGAAATGGCAGTATGAAGATGAAAGAAAATGTGAACTTGGTGATGTACCTAGTTACAGCTTAATGTTTTGAATTATACATAGGACAAGATGACTCCTCAGTTGATATTTTGATTTCATTTGGCACTATATGTGATATTACTTATATTCTGCAGTTCATTGTTGTATTTTACATTTAGATGGATTTCAGGGTTGCAAGGTTATATATCAATTAAATATGAATGTACAGTAATTTCAGAGATCAGAGATTCAGTAACTTTTTTTTTTAATTGAAGTGTAGTCAGTTTACAATGTGTCAGTTTCTGGTGTACAGCATGTTTCAGTCATACATATACATACATATATTCCTATTCCTTTTCATATTCTTTTTCATTAGAAGTTACTACAAGATATTGAATATATAGTTCCCTGTGCTACACAGAATAAACTTACTATCTATTTTATATATATTAGTTAGTATCTGCAAATCTCGAACTCCCAATTTTTCCCTGCCCGTCTCCTTCCCTCTGTGGTAACTGTAAGTTTGTTTTCTGTGTGTGTGTGAGTCTGTTCTATTGTAAGTAATATTTTTTAACTCAAATACTCTTAACTCTTTCCTGGGCTAATTCTGTTTTTAATTTTGTGTACCTGATCTTCAGTAAGCACTTACTAGAGATCATGACATTTAGAATACTTCTAGAAATCTGTCATTGTTCTCATAGGTTTTGTTCACTATCCCCTCACCTCAGTGTGATAACAGCAGTGATCAAAATGGCATTTCTGGCTTAAGGATGACAGAGTGCTGGAGCTGGGTCATGTCAGCTTCTGATTGTTTTCTTCCTTTGTCTCAGCATCTAGCACTTATTTCTAGGCACCTGTTAGAGTCTACCTTTTTAAAATGTAAAGACCAATCATTTAAAAACTTCATTGCATATATATTTCATACCATGTAAGTTAATTATGAATAAGTAGTGTTTGACAAACGTTAATTATATATTTTATAACACAGAAAATATGGCTTGTTCTAGAGGTAGTGTTTTTTTGTGCATTTCTTTCCAGTACAATAATACCGCAGATGGAGTTTATAAAGTTTTCACCGGAAAAGACAACATAAGCAAAGTTGCCATAATTGACACATATAAGGGCAAAAAGTAAGTATCCAGGTAAAGTGTGTGTGTGTGTGTGTGTGTGTGTGTGTGTGTGTGTGAGACACTAGGGGACTGTAAGGCAGGTAAGTGGTCTAGTAACAACTGCTAAGGCACAGGCACCCACCTGTGGAACACAGCGGCCTGTATCTCAGCCCTAGGAACGAACTCCTGTTGTGCCAGGCGTTATCCCTTTAGTTGCGACGACTGGCCACACCAGCACAGAGCTGCCGAGTACCAGCCCTACTTGGGGGTTGGCCTCTATGCACAAGTTCTCTCACCTAAAGAAATCTAAGGGGACTGTTTCCAACTCTGCGGCATAACCAGCACTATCATGTACCCATACAATTACATAACCATGAATGGAAAGGAAGACAACACATCAACTCTTTGTCTAGCAGGTAGGAAAATATATCTTACTGTTATTTTTGTTTTTGTTTTTGTTTTTTTTACTGAGCATGTCAAATAAAAATTGTTCCTTCCAGTGACATGATGTAATGTGTCTATAAAGATGGAAGCTCAGTGAATCCATGCCAGTGCTTTCATGATCTTCTCCTTCAAAATTTTCTCATAATAGTTTTCTATATTGGTAACACAGCTTTTTAAAGACTTTTTCAATGCAAAAGTGGAATTAGTATTTTATGTTCTAAAATTTACATACTAAATTTGAAAATAAAGAGCCTGCCTCCTATGAAGTAGTAACAGAATGAGATACATTCATAGAGCCAGGATTTCCTTTCATTCCCCAGCTCCTGCCTGTTCATCTGTCTAAAATAGACTTTCTTGATATATATTGGGGTTCTTCCTTTTTTTTCTCAGAGTTAAAATGTGTTTTAGAGCAGTTATTTCCTGACAAAAAGAAAGTAATGGAAGTCAAAATATATGAAATCTTTTTATTAATTAACCTCATGCTAAGTCCCTATCTCAAAATTGCATACAACAGTTAAATACTCCTGTATTCCTTTATCTTGTATTCCTTTGTCTTCTACAGAGACCATAGTCACATATATTTTATAGAAAAGTCTAATGGAGGAAAGCAAACACTTGTAAATACTCATTTCAGGGGAAATCATATCACTGTCTGGTGAAAAACATGAGTATTTCCTCCATTTAAATATTACAGAGAGGTTTTGAGAAGAGTTAGTAGGTGCTCCAAACTTGGGTAAGAATTTCACAATAAGATTATGCTAAGGTTAATTTAACTGATGGCGAGACTGAGCATGATTAACAGCTTATGTTGTTTAAAAAAGCGACAGCGTGCCTTGACATCTTACTAGATGGGTTTTTCACCCTCCTAACATACCATTTTTCCATCATCAAAAATTGGCTAAGAGTACAGAGAAACTATCACTACTGTTGTTTTTATTGTTTCCAGATATTTTAACATATATCTTATGTAGATACCAGAGTATAAATGAGTAAACTCTGTCCAGCTTTAATGCCAGCTCATACAAGAGTTAAAAGGGGGGAGAGTATAAATCCATCTACTACACGTTTCCAGTCTCTATTGATCGAACACCTGCTTCTCTTTCTTTCCTCCTCCACACTCCCCTCTTGTCCCCAGTTACCCACTTAATATTTTCCTCCAGTTCAGTTTGAACACTCTCTCCCACTGGGGAAAAAAACTTTCCCCTAAAAGATCTAAATTTCTGAAATGTATTTCTCAATGCTCTTTTCTGCAGAATTCTGTCAGTTCCAAGTTGTTTCTAACATTTGGCAGTTTTTATTTTGTAATCTGGTCACTTAATGATATCAGACATTTCATTCATCTCAAGAAGATGAAAACTTCAAACAAAACATAGACCAAATGATGTAGAACATTTCTTAAACTTAGTTTGTCATGTCTAATCAATAGTATTTTAGTAGACGTAATGAATCCTAATAGACAAAGAAAGTAATGTGAGAAAGTGTTCTGGAAATGAGAATGTTCATTTTCTTTTCTTTAATCCCTAAGGAATCTCTCCTATTGGCCAAGTTATTGTGACATGGTTAATGGTACAGGTAAGGGAAATGTTTTGTGGTAATAATCACAATGGAACCACCTCCTTTCTCCCCACATAATCCACCACCATACCTACACTGTTCTGGAGGCTGAGGGTAAGCAATTACCTCTCTTTATATCCCTCCACCATAATGCAGAGTGTCTATTCTGGTACAGGCTTAGTAAATGTCTGTCTAACATGATGGGATTTCTGAAGATTAACCACTGAGGATTAGCCTTTACTGTATTACTGGGGAAATGTTCGCTTTGTAAAAACTTGACTGAATCAACTGCTTTCCTGGCCACAAAATTAAGGGGTTAGAAAAATTTAGAGTAGTAGTTACTGTTTACATCTTTTTTAAATACTCTAGGGATGATAAGTTTTAAAACTGAAAGTTTTTAAAAATGAAGATATTACAGAAGGTAAAACATATGTCCAAGTGGAGCTTTCGTATGAGGCAGAATCAGTGAAGTTGCAAGACGAGGCCATACAGTTGGAATAAGATGGTCAGAATGAGAGAGAGAACAGCAGGAACAAAAACAAGGTGAAGTACTAACCAGAAAAATGTATGCAAAAATGTACATTCTGAATTAGACTTGGGAGGAAAGAAGGTACAGTGAGTCCATTTACAGATCCAGCTTATTTTTTTTCTTGAAGAAAAGCAAAGTATACATATGCCTATTAGTTCAAGAATTAATGTTTTAAAAAGCAATGGAAATTGAATACCATGAGGTAATTAAAATCAGAGGTGAGCTGTCAGCTATTAAGAAGCCAAAGTAGAGCATAATGTTTACAAACTTGGTGAAGCAATACTTATAGGAAGGTATAATGTATTGTTATACTGTTATATTTCATTTATCACAAGATCATCACAAGAGTGTAAATGAAATGTTGTAAGATTCCAAGGTTGGCGCACTTACCAGAAAAAGAACATGGTATTCATAACTGAAGGGTGGGTCTTACTCTTTTCATCAAATGAATTCAGTGGTGGGTCATTTTGGTGATATTCATTTGTGGAGCAAAGGGAGGAATTATCTAGTTATTTCTTCTCCTATCCAGTGTGTGCCATGGATCTTAACCATAGTAGAGATTCAGTAAACTCAACAAATGCCCTTCTATTTTGATGTATACATTTTCAAACTATTTGCATGGAATTCTGTTTAGTGAGAGAACTTTAATAAGTGATTTAAAAAATATTAAACAGCCATTAGGCAGATGAATGACTATCAAAAGTAAAAAACAACATTGACCAAAACAGGAGTTGTAACTGACCCTGAAGGTAATAAAAGTGCACTCTACTGATTGGTTTTAGAACGCCCCCACCCTAACACAATCCTCGTTTTAACAACATGTGGTTTTGCTATTGTTTTTTAAACTCTTGTTTAAGGAGTGGGAACATTTAATATGAAATTGAGTACCAATGAATGTGTACAGTACAGAGTTGTTGAATATCTGGTAGCTGTTAGCCATACATCACAGTTAAGCACTGGAACTCTGCTAGAGCAAACAAATGTTCTGTAAGTATAAAGCACACTGACTGGATTTTGAGATTTGTTAACTTTTATATTGATTACGTGTTAAAATGATACTTCGGATATATTGGGTTGAAGAAAATAGAACTGATGCTTTTATCATTTTTAAATGTGGCTTCTGGAGAATTTTTAACTCACATATACAGCTTGCATTATATTTCTATTAACTATGCTGGAATCAAGATTTCTAGACTTGTCTGGGACATGCACACTACATCTAATCCTTTGCCCCTGGCCTGATTTTTAAACAGATGCAGCCTCCTTTCCACCTTTCGTTGAGAAGACCCTGGTATTGCAGTTCTTTTCCTCTGACATTTGCAGGTAAGACAAAGACACCCAGCTATTTCTCCAGCTCAGAATCCTGTCCCCAACTGACAAAACACAGACCACCAAGATCACACTCAAAAATCAAGTTATTTGAGAAAAATAAATTTATGGAAGTTTTTCTTGATAGATTAAGAATACACACAGTATGAAAATCATAGTGTGTTTATTAAGTCTTTAAAAAATTAACGAATGCAGAAGTAGTGCAAATCACTCTCTTGTCATCTTTAAGCAAGAACTATTTTTTCTGTCTTCTATTAAACTAGTAGTATGTTTAGTAACAGTCAAGTCTGGAAGGGCGTGCCCAAACTTCCTAAAGATGTCCAGAGATGATATACCATCGTCACTATGTTAACGTGCTCTACTGACACTACAGCACCTGTTCAAGTTTATGCGTCAAAGCTACCACATAAGGATTGGCACCCACACCACTATGTCGAATCCTAGCCCTGTTTCTAAACTCTGCATGTTGTGGGCAAGCATTTAGTATCTCTGAAACATTTCCCTATCTGTAAAACTGAAGACAGGAGCATTTCTTCAAATAGGGATATCTGAGGATTAGAAAAAAAACATGTATTGAGCCCCAGTACATTGCTGAGATTATGGTGAACACTTGGGAAATGATGGAGGTGTAGGAGACATTTATCAAACACTCACATGCACATACCCCAGCAGGTGAGCAGCCTTTCTCTCCACGGTTAAGTTTTAGAAGACTAAAATTTTATTTTTATTTCACTTAAAGTGGACATAAATGAAGGATTTGATGGAGGCATATAAATATTGAATCTATAGAGGAAAACTATGAGAAATGTCTTCTGTATAAATATTCCAAGGTAGTTCAAAAGCAGGTATTATTCTCAGAAGCTTTTCAAAACAAAGGTCACCTCATACTCAGGTATTGAGTTCTGGTATGCTTTAAAATTTCACAAGATCTTCCTTTTCCTAAGAATTAAGCAAGAATTCTAAGATTATATCCAATTTTCATAAGTTAAGGCAATAATATAAATTTAAAAATAGGAAAAAAACACCACCACCACTCTCCAGAGTGAAGTTCTGGTTCCCAGAATGAAGCTTTCTCTTCCCTGTCTTTAGGTCAATCTATGCTGTGTTTGGAGCCGAAATTAATCTGAAAGGAATCCCTGTGTATAGATTTATTGTTCCATCCATGGCTTTTGCATCTCCACTTCAAAACCCAGACAACCATTGTTTCTGCACAGAAAACGTTATCTCAAAAAATTGTACATTATATGGTGTGCTAGATATTAGCAAATGTAAAGAAGGTAAGTAAAAGTTCTTAACTTCACAATCCATTCATAATTTACAGTCTTGTTTAAAATGTAAGTAAGTTTACCCTGGATTCCTTACCATCAGAAATTTAAAGTGAAAAAGCAGTAAGAGGCAGAAAATAAGGCTGGTAGTAGGGTAATTTTGTTTTAATTTTTGTACTGCTTTGGAAAATGTCTCTTTAGGTCCGTTGCCCACTTTTTGGTTGGGGTTTTCTTTTTTTTTTTTTTTGAGTTGTATGAATTCCTTGTATATATTAGATATTAATCACTTACGGGATACGTGGTTTGCAAATATTTTCTCCCATTCCATAGGTAGCCTTTTCATTTTTTGATGGTTTCCTTTGCTGTGCAGAATCCCTGGGCCCCATTTATACACAGGGTAAAATGAAAACAGTTCCTAAAATACACTTGAACATCTCAACTTATCCATCTGATATTGTGGTGACTTTTTCTACCTTAGAAAATGATAAATAAAAGTATATTTTCAGTATGTCTCTGAAATAAGAACTGACTCAAACATGAAATCTGGAATGTATTTTGTTTTGCTCACTTTCTTCATACTAGAGTGTATAAGAATAAAGAAAAGAAAAACCTCTTAAATAAATTCAGTCCACAGGCATATTACTGCCTGAATCATGAAGGTATATACTTGTAACTTTGTGATCAGCAGCTAAACTTTGTTCATTCCCATATATAACAGACATTAACTGACTGGATGATGCAGAATTTTCTATTTTTTTTTCGTTCAGTAATGACCAGATGTTAGAATATACCCTGACTTTCATCCCCTAGTTAGTATTCATAGCCAACTCTGCATCTTTTTTTAATTAAAAAGCTTTATTTTCAAGGGAATCTTTTCTACGAGGTATGTGAAATGAGGTAAATGATTTATTTCAGTTGTCCTTAAAACTTGTTTTCAGGAAAACCTGTGTACATTTCACTTCCTCATTTTCTGCATGGAAGTCCTGAACTTGCAATATCTATTGAAGGCTTGAATTCAAATGAAGAAGAACACAACACCTATTTAGATGTTGAACCTGTAAGCAAATACATTATTGATCTGATTTAATATTGCTTTTTAAAAATGAAGGAAAAATTAAATTTTCTTTTTGTCAGTCACATTTATTGATCATATTTACTGTATCAAAATTTTGTTAAATTACCTACTTTTATTTGAAGGAAATTTACATTGATTTCTTTTATTGCTGCTTATGAAGTGCCAACGCAATTCAATTTTAGTTTTTCAGCATATGCAACTTTATAAGCCTTCTTGAATTACTCAAAGGTCAGAAATAGCAATGATGGAAATGATTCTAACTGGCTTAAAAGAATTTGGTATAAATTAAAATTTCATGCTTATTTTACATCTAATTTCTGTGTAAACAAAGGGACACTGTATGGGAGGGATTAAAAAAAGATTTTATGGGTATATGTGCATTTCATGCAAGAGCTATTATACTTAGTGCCAAGAAAAACCTATTAGATTTCCTACAGTGAAAGTTTCAACTTTTCATTTATTTGAATATTCTCCTTTTCAGCAGTCAAGGGAAATGCCAGAATTTTAGTAGTCATGTTTGACCTGAAATAATGATAGAAGTAGGATTCTAATTATATGGATGATAACACGGATTCTGACTGAATATATATTTGACCATGCATAGTTCAGGATGTAAATTATCTATATGACTAGTTTTCAGTATTATTATTGACTCCCAAAAACAAATTTAATTAAATACCACAAAACTATCTTAATCCTTGAATTAGGCTTGTAAAAAAACTGTGTGCATGTCTATACATTTGTATACACATAAAATGTAATTTTGGAGTTATATATGTAGTATTTAATATGCCAATTACTTTTTAGTACATTGCGCAAGTTTTGAGTAGTAGTTTCACCTTAGGTTCTACGTAACAGTAAAACTTAATTTCAGATACATGAAATGATGTTTTTAAAAGAAATCAATAATTAGTTTGTTCTCTTTCTAGATAACTGGATTCACTCTACGATTTGCAAAACGACTGCAGGTCAACATGTTGGTCAAACCATCAAAAAAAATTGAGTGAGTCTCCTGGACAGGTTCATTATGATTTTTAATATTTTCTTGTAAGAATGTGACTATATTCATGAAAGTAAGTGGAAATAATACAAAATTTAAAACAACTTGGCTTAATGTCATTAATTATTAAATGCTTATAACTTTTGAATTGTAACTAGTGTGTATTGAAATGGTATCAGCACATACTTTGGAATGAGTATTTGTTGGCATTTCTCATTTTGCTCTTTGCCCAAGTATTTCCATAACAATTGTTTCTACAATTCATATTTTAATTTCCTGAGTATAATTTGTTGAAAGGAAAATACATGCTTAGAAAAAGTTAATCTAATTAGAAAGCTGTCTGAGAAAGATCCCTATTAAAACTTAGTGACTTTTTTTTCCCCCTGTAATGAATCATTTAAGTTGTAACAGCAAATGATTTCTGAACATATATTTACAATGGTAAATTACTAGCATGTGTCATACATGTGTATTAGTATATATTTTCATAATTATTTTCAATGTATATTACAGAGCATTAAAGGGTCTGAAGCATAACTATATCGTGCCTATTCTTTGGCTTAATGAGGTTAGTATTTTTATCTATTAGTCACCAAAAATATTAACCTTCTTTATATAGAGAGAAAGCTTTGATACTTGAAAACTGAGTCTATATGTCTAGTATTGGAAGTTGTATGTGTTTCCCTTGCCCCTATGGGTGAGTTTATATATTGTCAATTATATGATTATTTGGGGAGAGCCAAATCACACAGAAATATCACCTTTCTTTGATTTCAGTGATTTTATTTTAGAAATACAAAATATGTCCTATCATATTAAATTATTTTTTTAATGTATTAAACACTTTTTCCTTACATGAACACTATGACAAGAAAAGAGTCATGCAAATGTGTAACTCCAAATTACTCAATGTGGATACTGCAGTGCTAATAACAATCAACCAAGCTTATAAAGACCAGGTTAAAGTAGGTGTAGACAGTTTACGGTATTGCCTGACAAGATATTTTTAGAGTAAATCATGCAACTGATTAGCCATAGAATTAGAAAATGCACTGCATAAGCCTTTAGAGGATGGAATATGTTGATCCCCTGCCATTTCCCTCTGTCACTAGGTAACAAACATCCTTCAGAAAATAGGAAAATATTTCAGTAAGACCACTGTACAGATCACCGAAACCAGTGTATTGAAGAGTGCTACATAACATGTCTGTAGGGAGGGGGACTATGTTTAGTCGCTAAATATTCTACCTTGGCATTTGTTGCCTTCTATTGACACGCAAAAGGAATTCCACTGGCTTCTCTTATAGATACAGATGAATAACACCTATATACATCGATGGAGGGTTTTGGGTATTTTGCTGCACTAATCTCCTAAATTAATGCTAACTATTAACTTGATTACAGACTGGCACCATTGGTGACGAGAAGGCAGAAATGTTCAGAAATCAAGTGACTGGAAAAATAAACCTCCTTGGCCTGGTAGAAATGATCTTACTAGGTGTTGGTGTGGTGATGTTTGTTGCTTTTATGATTTCATATTGTGCGTGCAGATCAAAAAGGGAGTAAACTAAGTAAGTTTATAATTTAAAAAAAACTTGTTTTAATTTTATCAAAAAGGGGTTATAAATTAGGCTGTTGATATTTCTGGAAAAGTCCAGGCAACTATGGTTTTTAATGTATCCTTGCAGTTTTGAGCTGCTAAATGTAAATTAAAGCATAAATGAAGACTGAATGAGTAATAAAGTCTATTGGTATTAAGCAGGTCACTAAAGTTCACCTTTATTCTGGAAAGGATAGGCTAAAAGATGAAGTTGTCATTTTTGATAAGTTAAAATGTTGCACAAAAGATACATATGTATTGACACACCTTTTGATTCATCCATCTCGGAACATACCTCCCTATCTTTTAGCCTACCTATCCACCCACTCACCCTCCTATCTATCTGTTTCTTTACCTACATATCCTTTTGTCCAGGTACACACCCTTTGATCCATCCATCTAGGAACCTACCTCCCTATCCACCCACCTACCATTCTTCCTGTCTTTCTCCCTCCACATCTCTCTCTTTACCTGTCTATCCATTCGTTCAGCCACACACCTTTTGATCCATCCATTGAGGGACCTACCTCCCCATGCACCCACCCACCTTTCTTTTTCTTTCTTTTTCCTTCCTCCCTCCCTATCTTTTTATCCTACCTATCCACCCACCCACCTTCCTATCTATTTGTTTACCTACCTGTCCATTCCTCCAACAACAGACCCTTTGATCCATCCATCCAGGAACCTACCTCCCTATTCACCCATCTATCTATCTTTCTGTCTTTCTCTCTGTCCCAATCATCGGTCTCTCTGTGTGTCTGTCTGTCTTTTAGCCTACCTATCCATGTACTCACCCTCCTATCTTTTTACCTACATATCCATTCGTCCAGTCACAGACCTTTTGATCCATCCATCTAGAAACCTACCTCCCTATCCACCCACCCATCTTTCTCTTTCTTTCTTCCTCTCTTTTAGCCTACCTATCCACCCAACCACCCTATCTTATCTCTTTACCACCTACCCATTCTTCCAGTGACAGACCCTTTCATCCATCAATCTAGGAATCTTTCTGTCTTCCTCCCTTTGTATATCTATGTTTTAACCTACCTATCCACCCACTCACCCTCCTAACTGTCTCTTTACCTACATATCCATCCATCCGCCACAGACCTTTTGATCCATCCATCT